ACTTAGAAGCCATCAGGAAGTGGCCCTGTTCTCTCTCATTGGGATTTCAAGGCAACTTTGTCTGGGGGTGATATGATTTCAAGGCAACTTTGTCTGGGGGTGATATGCTAACAGGCATCTGAATAAAAGGAAGTGTGTGCGTGCACATACACACACACACACACACACACACATGCTTCTGAAAATTATTGGCATTTATCAAACCCAATGAGAATAGCTATTTTTTACATCACAACTACCTTTTCAGATGTTATTGACGGTGTGTGTGTGTGTGTGTGTGTGTGTGTACGTGCGCATGTACTCACACACACACATGTGTGCTGATCCTGGAGCTTGAACTCAGAGTTTGGGCGCTGTCCCTTAGTTGTTTTTGGCTGAAGACTAGTGCTCTACTACTTGAGCTACACCACTTCCAGGTGTTGTTGGTTTTTAAAAAATAGTTTATTGGAGGTAAGAGTCTCATGTACTTTCCTGCCCCAGCGGGCTTTGAACCTCGATCCTCAGATCTCAGCTTCTGGAATAGCTAAAATTGCAGGTTGAGCCACTGGTGTCTGGCTATTGTTATCATTTGTGTACTTTTTCTCAGTTCTTCTCTTTGCATATTATTGCAAACTCAAGACTTTGTACTTGCTAGACATATGTCCTACCACTTGAGCCAGGTCCCTGGCTTTCTTTTTGCCTTAGTTATTTTTTCAGATAGGGTTTCATAGTTTTCCCTTAGTACCAGTCTTAGGTGATGGTGCTCTTACCTATATTTCTTGAGTAACTGGGATTCTAGTGTCATGCTACTATACTGTCCTTGTTGGCTGACATAGGATTTTACTAGCTTTTTTTTTCCCCAGGGAGACTTTGAACTATGATCCTCCATATTCTAGGCCTCCCCCTGCCCCCCACCCCAAATATCTGGATTACAGGTGTGCACCTCTATTCTGTGAGTAAAAAAAATTAATGTGGATACCTCTTAAACAGTCATTTTACTTCTATAATTTTTTTTAAAAAACAATCTCAAGTATAGGCTCAGGTTTATGTAAGAAACATGTATGTTGTACATTGTAAATAGCGGAAACAGCCTAAGGTCCAGCAGTTAGGGGAGGGCAGCAGAGAGGCCTGGGCAGCCCAGAGCAGGGATGGGAACACAGTCTGTGGGACTTCAGGCCCTGGTAAGATAAAAGATCCTCCTGAAGAATGGATGGGGGGGGAGGGGGGAGGGCACTCATGGAAACCACAGGGACAACCAGTCAATCTGCCAACTCAAGGACCTGAGCACCAAGTACGGGACACTGATGCAGAACAAGATGAGTCCTTCATTATAGACTCATGTACATGAGTGAATAGTTTTGTCTATTTAAGGGAGCAAAACAGAAGGCAATCATCAAGCCTACAGTACTTGAGTCAGAAGGACTTGGGCCAAGCCCTATCTCAGCACCCTGGAGAAGTCAGGTGCCTCCCCTAGGAACTTAAACACACATGCAAAACACGCCCACCTAGATCTACACTGAAGAGGCCAGAGCACAGGCTGCACAACACAGGACTTGTGTCAGAGCTACCGGGTGCGGGTTCAGCCTTGTGCACCCGGCCGGGGGTGGGGGAGGGGAGGCATTGTGCTCCTTCCCTCCACACTGCAAGGAACCCCAGGTCCTCATCTCTGTCTGTGTGGTCACCTCAGGTGGGGCAAGAAAGAGGCCTGTGTGACAGCCACACCCAGTCCATGCTAGCTACTGTCATGGCTTCCCATGCATGTTCCCTGCCCCGGGTGTCTGCTGGCCATTCCTCCACGCTTCCTTCTGTGCAGATTCTGTCTTTCTCCATGGCTGTGTCCTCATCCATTGACAGGAGGCCTCTGCCTTGGCTGTGCTCAGGGCAGAGGGAGCTGGAACAAGATGACTAACTTTCTATCCATAGCCACGGAGCACAGGGGAAGAGGGACAGGGAGGCTTGGCCCTGGCACCCTGGAGGGAAGCGAGGGGGACCTGGCCCCTCCTGCTACCTTGGCTGGAGCTGCCCCAGTCCATCCACACTGCGTTTTTCTCTCCTCCTGTAGCCCGGACGATATAGATGACCTGGAACGAAAACATCGCAGAGATATCATTGCTGCTGCCTTGGACTAGAGGACGGCATGGCCTCCCCAGGTGACCACTCTTGGTCCTTTCTGTCTGGTTTCTGCTTGAGGCCTACATGTGGGGCCTCAAGTTTGTCACCTCCAAACTGAGGCTGTAGAGCAGTGGGTGGGCAGCGAGGAGGAGCCCTAAGAGGGACCGTATCGATCTTCCAACCTGTGGGCCTGTGGGGCCCTCCTCCCTGGCCCTGGCCTGGAGTGAGGCGTGGCGCAAGGGCTAGCCTCAACTGTAGTATTCCTCCTTAGCGGGGACCAGGAGAGCCTTGAGAATGTGGAGAACAGCAGGGAAGCAGAGCAGGGGAGAGAAGACAGGAGGTAGCAAATGAAGAGACAAAAGGTCAAAAGCACCTTGCCTGCTTCCCCTCTCCTCCCACCTCCTTTCTTCCTGAGGCAACCCTGAGTGGCTCTCATGAGGGTGCTGTACCGCCAGGTCTGTGCCCAGCATCTTTGAATGGCTTAGAAGAAGAGTATCTTGAATGCCATTGGATTAGACCCCCAGTGCGAGCTTCTCTGCCCCTATCTCTGTGACCTGACAATGTAACATGAGAACTTACACGTAACATGAAGGTGACACACAAGAAAACAGCCCTCCTCCCAGGAACAACCCCCACCCACTGGATACGTGCTATCTTCCACCAGTCCTGCTTCCTTAGGGCTCTGTTTTTTTCCTCCCCCAATTGCCTTGCAGCCAAGTCAATTCTTCCCAGGATCTGGCCTGGAGAGCAAATGGTGATATCTCTATCTATCTATCTATCTATCTATCTATCTATCTATCTATCTATCTATCTATCTATCTATCTATCTATCTACCTATCTATCTATTTACCTATCTATCTACCTACCTACCTACCTACCTATCTATCTATCTATCTATCTATCTATCTATCTATCTATCTATCTATCTATCTATCTATCTATCTATCTATCTATCTATCTATCTATCTATCTATCTATCTATCTATCTACCTATCTACCTATCTATCTATTTACCTATCTATCTACCTACCTACCTACCTACCTACCTATCTATCTATCTATCTATCTATCTATCTATCTATCTATCTATCTATCTATCTTTCTTTCTTTCTTTCTTTCTATCTTTCTATCTATCTATCTACACACAATATATGGATATGTAAACACACGTATATTTTTATTTTTTTGTTTTTTGGGTCCAGTCGTAGGGTCTGAACTCTGGGCCTGGGTGCTGTCCCTCAGCTCTTCAGCTTAAGGCTAGCGATCTACCACTTGAGCCACAGCGCCACTTCTGGCTTTTTTCTGCTTATGTGGTGCTGAGGAATCAAACCCAGGCAAGCACTCTATCACTGAGCCAACTTCCCAGCCCCAACACACGTATATTTGTATATAAATATGTGCATGTATAAAAATTCCCAAAGCAATGTTTACCTTTCCTGTGTTTAAGTCATTTGATGATTGTCAATTCCATTTCCTTTTTGGAATACTGGATTTGCTCCTAATGAAGCTTCACTGAGGTGAAGCTCATTTTGTGTTACTATTATCATACTTGAGCAAATACTTGACAACCTAAGGGAAGAAAGATTTACTTTGTTCACAGTGTGAGAAGTTGCATTCCATCATGCTGGGAAGGTATGGAGAGGCAGCTTGTATCGTGGTGGACAGGAAGCAGAGCTGAGCAGTAACAGGAAGGGGCGAGGGCAAGATGGAGCCTCTGGGGACAAACCCAGTGACCTACTTCCTCCAACCAGGCTGGACCTTCCAAATTGCATCACCTCTCAATAGTCTGTTCCAATTTTGAATTCACCAATGAATCCATTTATTGGGTCAGAACCCTTGTGATCTAAACCTCTCAGGAACACCCCAACCTCCCAGTCCAGGGTGGTACTTTATTAAACCTCCTAGGTGTTTCTCAGCCCAACCAAAATTGAAAAAAAACAAGGTTGACCGCTAAACTGCTGATGGGTTGAAAGTCCCATTGGCAGGCACAGATATACAGTGTTTCCCATCCAATAGGCACATGGTAGATGGAAACCATCATTGAAAATTTCCCACTTCGCTGGGGCATAAAGGCTCACTTTCTGACTGCTATGAGTTGACAAAGATCTATTTATATCTGCAAAGCACCATATTCTTTCTGTTTTGTATTGCTAATCGCATACTGCTATCATAAATGCCACAGTACAGTGGCTTAAACAAATATCCTTTTTTTCCTTACAGCTCTGCAAGTCAATGCCACAGCCTGAGTGGCAAGGTTGGTTCTGATGAAGACTGTGTTCCCGGCGTGTGGAGAGAGCTCCTCACTGCATGTGGGCACATGGCCTTTCCCCTGTACATGGAGAGACGGGGGCAGGGGGGGAGGGGGGCGGACAGAGACACAGATATTTGGTGTTTCATCTTTCTTAAATTTATTTTTATTTTATTTTATTTATTTTTGCCAGTTCTGGGGATTGAACTCAGGGGCTGAGCACTGTTCCTGAGCTAGTTTTTGCTCAAGGCTAGCACTCTACCACATGAGCCACAGCACCATTTCTAGCTTTTTCTATGTATGTGGTACTGAGGAATCAAACCCAGGGCTTTATGCATGCTAGGCAAGCGCTCTACCACTAAGCCACATTCCTAGCCCCTCTTCATCTTCTTAATAGGTGAGAAGTCCTAAGGATGACATGCATGGCCTCATTTAGTCTTATTTATTTCACTTTCTTAAAGAAGCTGTCTCCAAACACAGTCACAGGAGGTTAGGGCTTTTACACGTGTATTTGGGGGCCGTGATTCAGTCCATAACACTGGGGTCCATCCAAAGTGACAGATGCTCAACAACATGATCCTCAACTCCTTTGTTCTTGATACCATTCAAGCTCCACCTCGCTGACCTCTAACCTTATTCTTTTTCTTTCCAACCAACTAGAGAACCAAACCTTCACTGAGCTGGTCATTGAGTATCTCCAGGACACAGTGAGCAGGGAGGAACTGCAGCTCCTGCTGATGGATGATGACGCGTGGGAGGCAGTTGTGACCAAGGCTAAGTTGTCCAGGTGACCTCCATGGGGAGCCACAGGATGGATTCCCAGTCCCCTGGGTTTTCTCATGACAGGGCTGTTTCTCAGGCAGTCCAGGGAGGGGTGAGGATGTCCCTTCTTAAGAAATTTCTTGAGGTCTTTGTACACAGGGTCTTTATGTGTGCAAAGGCAAAACTGGCACCAGGTAAGATGTCCAACAGGCTGGTGAGGGCAGGCAGTCACGGAGGGTTGTTGTTTTTGTTGTTCCTGCCCCTGAGAATTCTCTATCTCTTTGTTCCTCTACAGAGATCCCAATCAAAAAATACTTTCCTTTTTTTGTTGGTCCTGGGGCTTAAACTCAGGGCCTGGGCTCTTTCCCTGAGATCTTTTACTCAAGGCTAGCAGGCTACCATTTCTGGTTTTTTGAGTGGTTAAATGGAGATAAAAGTCTCACAGGGACTTTTCTGCCTTAGCTGGCTTTAAACTGTGATCCTCAAATCTCAGTCTCCTGTGTAGCTAGGATGACAGGTGTGAGCCACCAGTGCCTGGCTTCAAAAATAACTTTTTAATCACTAAGGAACACCTGAAGATGACTTTTCCTCACTGTTCTCTTATTGACTGAGGACCAGAGGCCCTCTGTGAAGTACTAAACATGGTCACCATGGGAAGAACTACTCTGTACCTCTGTAAAATCCTTCTACATCTGATTTCTGGTAGCAGCTCTGTGATTTGGGCAGGATAGAGATTACAGGTCCCTTTGTGCCAAGAAGCAAACTGAAAAAATTTGCTCTTTAATGTTACAGGGAGGAAGCTGATGAGCTTCGTGCCACTCTGAAGATGCTCACAGAAGACGTGGAGGAGGAAGATGAGCTCCAGGATCTGCAGGATAGGAAGAGGTTTTTGGATGAATTTCCCCGGGTTAAAGAGGAGCTTGAAGAGCGCATAAAAAAGCTCCGCGCCCTTGCTGACAAGGTTGACAAGGTGCACAGGGACTGCACCATCTCCCACGTAGTGGCCGGCTCCACAGGCGTGGTCTCTGGGGTGCTGACCATCCTTGGCTTGGCTCTTGCCCCTGTGACGGCAGGGGTCAGTCTGGTGCTCTCTGCCACTGGGATGGGGCTGGGAACCGCAGCCACTGTGACGAGTGTTGCCACGAGCCTTGTGGATACATCAACCAAGCGGTCAGCTGAAGCAGAAGCCAGTTCTCTGCTGTCCACCAAAATGGACATGGAGAAGGTGTCTAATGATGTTCTTGCTGAGGTTAAGCCCAGAGTTATTTCCATAACCAAGAAATGCTTCCAAGACCTGCCACGCCTTCAGAAGAACATCGAAGCCATAAGGCTGGCCAAAGCCAACCCTCGCTTAGCGGCCAGTGCCAAGCGTCTCATGACCGCGGGGACCATCTCAGCCAGAAACACTAGGAAGGTGCAGAAAGCCTTTGGAGGCACCGCCCTGGCAATGACCAAAGGAGCCCGGATAATGGGTGCGGCCACTGCAGGTATCTTCCTTCTGATGGATGTCGTCAACCTTGTGAATGAGTCCACGCATTTGCACCTGGGGGCGAAGACAGAGTCTGCAGAAGAGCTGCGGCGGCAGGCTCTGGAGCTGGAGAAGAAGTTGGAGGAGCTCATGCAGGTCCATGAGAGTTTGCTGTCGGATGTGAGCTGGTGAGGCCCTCTTTGGAGCAGCAGAGAGGTCAAGAGAGATGCCCTGGGTGGCAGTGTGACAAATAAGAGTCCCCTCCCCTCCCCCTCCCCCCACTCTTCATGATCCATTCTAAGTGAAGCCAGGGCATGGGAGGGGCCATTCTTCTGACCCCCCACTAGGCTCCACCTCTTAAAGGTCCCACCCCTCCAACTACGCCATGCTGAGGACCAGGCTTCCAGCACACATGCCCAGGGGAAAGGGCACCCTGTGGCCTTATCTAAGCCACAGCACTGCTGGCCCCTAGACACACCCTCCACCTTGGTCCCAGCATAGAATCCCCTTCCTTATTGTTGTCTCTGGGCTGTGTCACTAGTCTTTGATGGGTGGTATAAGGGACCTCTCTCTTCCTCTCTGATAATGCCTAATTTTTCTTCTCCCAAATGATTCCAGATCTTTCAGCCAGATTATGACTGTGAACCTAAAAGCCAAACTTTTCTGTCGTCACTGTCTATCCCTGCTTCCTTGGGGTGGCAGGGGTCTTCAGTGTAATGCTCAGAGCTCCACCGAAGTACAGATGGCAGGGTCACCTCTGCGCAGGCCTCGCCACTTGCCTCAGTTGTCAGCTGAGGGAGCAGCAGGGCCTGACCCGTGACTTCTGCTCCCCTAGCAGGCTTGTTGGTAAATAAAAAGAACTTGGCTTCCTATTAAAGTTTTAAACTCTGCTGCCGTGGAAAGAGAGTGAGAGATGACCACCACAGGCTGCGCTTATTCTGTAATTTAATTTTTTTTTTTTTTGGTCCGGTCCTGGGGCCTGAACTCTGGGCCTGGGCGCTGTCCCTCAGCTCTTCAGCTCAAGGCTAGCACTCTGCCACTTGAGCCACAGCGCCA